TGGCCGCGCGGAGCTGAAACAGGCGAGGTGAAGCCCCCGGAACGACAGTCGGAGAGCGCGCTTTGCAGGGGCGCCGGCTCCATGGGCAGCCGCAGCTCTTGACGGTGCGAAAATGGACGTTAACAGCAGCGGTCCTCCGGACCTGCTCGGGCACTTTAAGTCCCTTCTTCTACCGAAGGCGGGAAATGAACTGATCCCCGACGGCGGTAACGTTCCCGAACAATCCTCCGCCTCCTGGTCGCCTAACCTGGTGAACAGGGCCACTGATGGGGCGCCCACTCCGGCTTCCACCTGGGATGCCTTGGCGGACAATGCCTCCGGCTGCGGGGAGCAGATCAACTACGGCCGAACCGAGAAAGTTTTGATCGGCTCCATCCTGGCGCTGATCACCCTGCTGACGATCGTGGGCAACTGCCTGGTGGTCATCTCGGTCTGTTTCGTCAAGAAGCTCCGCCAGCCCTCCAACTACCTTATCGTGTCTCTAGCTCTGGCCGACCTGTCGGTAGCCGTGGCCGTCATGCCGTTCGTTAGTGTCACCGACCTCATCGGGGGGAAATGGATCTTCGGCCACTTCTTCTGCAATGTCTTCATCGCCATGGACGTCATGTGCTGCACGGCCTCGATCATGACCCTGTGCGTGATCAGCATCGACAGGTAAGATCGGGTCGCGCCGTCCCGGGGCCGAGCTGGAGACGTGCGGGCTGCTGCGCCCCGCGCGCTCGCCTCTCCACGGCGGGGAGGAGGAGTGTCAGCCAGCCAGACTCGCCTGCGGGATGAAGGGCTGCGCTCAAAAACATCACCCCCTACACATCATCCTCAGCTTCGGTGGCTGCGTGGCCTGTAGAAACCTTTAAAAGGAAAGCCACTAGCGCCCTGATTTACCGGAGTGGGGAACTGAAGACCATAGTTGGAAGTGTTTTAGATTAGCAGTTCCAGTAGGGGGTCCCTAGGCTTGCTTTTAGGCAGGATGAGACTTGATAGTCTCAGGGCTCCTATAAACCTTTGCTGTGAGCCTTTAAGAAATGAGACGCAGGGGAAAGACACTGTGTTCCCAATTGTAGGAGCTACTCCTCAGGCCAGTGAAAGGAGCTGGGGGTCAAGAGGGAATTGAGAACCCACAGGTCTTTATTTAACCCTTCTCGATGCTACCTCTTAAGCACTTTTTATGGGACAGTTGGTTTGGTTTAAGTGTTGGGCAACCCTTAAAGCTTACAGAATTTCTCACTTATCTGAGTGTTGGTTGTAGGCGTCCATCATATTTTTCGGAATGCTTCTCTTGAGAACTCGCCCACTGGGGTAATTGGAACCGACGGTGGCCATTTGTCTGGGCCATTTTGGGGGAAAAAATTTCCTCTCTTGGGTGCCACACTGCAGCAGGAGCCCCCGCCCCCTCATCACCTAAGGTTTCCTCAGAAATTTCAGATTATGAGGATCTGAAATGGAGCTAGTTTAGGCCCCCGAAATATTTGTGCAATTGACCCCTTGAAATATAGCCCTAATGAGCCTTTGGCCACAGAAAATGACAATTTCCCAAGAATTGACATATTAAAGTCCATTTGTCACACTCAGTTCTGTTGGTGTTTTAAACACCTCTTTTCCCACAGAAATGGTATCCTGTTGTGTTTAATGACAGAGAAATGGTTGCTTATTTCCTCAACGGACCCATAGACACTTAAAAATGTGTTAGACATTTCAGCAAAGGAGAAATAATTGATGCCTCTACACTTGAAATGATAGAGCCTCAGAGGATGATCTAGCCCAGAACTGAGGTTTTCCGCTTTTTAAACACGGCTATTTGTGCTTTATTCTTTCCTTTCACTGCTTGACCACAGTTTATAATTACTAAGCAAAGGGGGTTATAGGAAAGGGCCTGTTTTCAAGGGAAAAAATACACTGCAGCTGCATTGAGTTAAAGAGCTGGATTATTTTTTTTTTTAAATAAAAAAATCCTACCATTTTATACTCTAAAGTTAGAGCTTCTGGTAGAAAGCTAAAGAATTATTATTTTTTTAAGAGCAGAATGTGAGCTGCATATGTGTGAATATTAGTCCAAACTTGACAGCTGAAGTTCTTAATTACTTTGGTTAAGAATGACAAAAACATATGCATTTACAGTCTGGCTGTGGCAACAGCAAATAGAGCGTGCCCTCAGTATACACATGGATAAGAAGCTCAAAAGTCTGAGTGTTCAGCCAACCAACTCCTAAACTTTTACATGAAGTCCTTTGAAAGGAAATTTGGTGTGCTCAAATAACTTATATTTTAGTTTAGGAATGGAACTGATAAAGAAGCAGCTTATTATGTTAATTTGGCTCGTGAGCAGCCAGTGGTTCTGTTCTAGGTGTAGAGATTTGGGTGGGACCACCCTGTGATTCCTGTGAGTGAGCTGGGACATGCCTGGGCGCCATCTGGAATGTCTCAAATAACAGAGAAGACTTTAATCCTTTTTCACAAAATCTCCATCAGCTGTAGTCTCACCAAATTGTGGTAACATCTCAGTAGTGTCTTCTGTTCAAAGTGAATTTTAGAAGACCAAAGAAAAAGAAGAGTTGATAAGATGGAAAGACACAGATTGCTTTTCTTCCAACGACACACACTGAACTAAAGGGTAAGGTGTACTTCATATCTCGGGTGAATTTTCTTCTGAAAAGAATATGGAGACAGTGTAAAAAGGTGCTAATAAAATACTTTTTAAAAACAGCCATGCCTTATTGTTTCATTTATTCATTTATATTCTCTTCTGAGTATCCACAATAATATCTTGTAAATACCTGTGGTTGTACAGCATGAACAGGATGAATAATAATACTTCTGCTCTTCAGCTCATTCTAGGTTATGAGAATTCAGATACTGGTGGACCTGTTTAAAATGGCTCCCATGGTTTTTTCCTAACCACTCCCACTGCACTGCTGTTTCCCCAGCCTTTTCCATCTGCAGTGTCATAAGATGTAAAACCCTCACTGCCTCCAACTCCCACCCCCACCGCTCCCAGTTAATGACTCATACTCACTGCAAAGGTAGTAGCTTCAGATGGAAATCTCATATTTTGCCCACAGCCAAACAGTTTTCCCTGCATCTGCACAAATTTTTATTTCCTCTTTCTCCTTTCAATTAAAAAGCAAGAAGTAACTCTATACCAGCAAGGGCCAAAACACATGCATCTCATATCTTGTTCCTTTCCACCTTCTCAAGGATTTTGCTTCTTCATTTCATCTCTCTTGTCTTCAGCTTTTCACTCTCTCCTCAAGGTCAGCAGCACACAGATAAGCTCTTGATTTTCCGTCTTTAAAAACCTCTTCATTGGCCCCTCTTTTCCCTTTCAGTTCCTGTTTGCACTTTATTGGTAAGTTGTTCAAAAACTGTGAACGCACCTTACGGTTTTTTACTTTCTTATTCCTCACTTAAATGAACTTGTCACTCATATGTCACAAGGTTATATTAGTATTCTAACTGGCCTTCTAGTTTCTACTTGTGTCTGCTTTCCATCTGTTGCAGCTTCTTGTCCCGTTTGTGCGAGTGTGTTTTTCTTTGCTGCAGTCCTGTCTTCTGTGTGTCTGTCTCTTTATGTTCATTTCTTCCTGGAAAAAAGGGTTGCAGTTTGCAACATATTACATATGAAGAAGTTAGAGTGATCTATTAGAAAAAGGTTTTGAAGTAAGATAAAATTTAGGTACAGTGAATTGTAAATATCTTTACTGTACAATTTGCTGAGTTTTGATAAATGTGTGTACTAGGATAACAAACATTCCAATCAGGATATAGAATATTTATGTCACTTTAGAAAGTTCCTTCTTGTACTTTTTGGAATGATTCTTTAAACATGGAAATCAAATGACCCTTTACATATAGTTTAAAAGTAGACAAACAATTCTATATATTATCTATTTCTCCAGTTCCATTAAGCCCATTCCAACGCATGGCAATTCCATATGTGTCTGAGTGGAATATTGCTCCGTAGTTTCCAGTAGCTGCTTTTTCAGAAGAGATAACCCAGTCTTTTTGCTGAGGCACCTTGGAGTGGATTCGAACCTCCAACCTTTCAGTTAAGACCTAGAAAATCAAACCCATTACCAATAAGTTGATTCTGACTTCTAGCAATCCTATAACAGAATGCAATGGCCCTAAAAGGTTTCCAAGGCTTAAATATCTTTACTGAAGTTAGATTGCCACATCTTTTTTCCAGAGAATGTCTTGTGGGTTCACACACAGCTTATTTTTCAGTTAGCAACCTACTGCTTATTTATTTTTATATCTATCTATAGTTTTGGAGACTTGTTTATACAAGTCACACACACACACACACGTATATGGTGGCCTAGTGGCAAGAAGCTGTGCTGCAATCCTAAAGGCACGTGATTAGAGGCCAAGTTGCTCTGTGGTTGAAAGATGGGCAGTCTCCTCCCCTGTGAGTAACTGCCTCTGAAAACCCGCTGGAGGGTCAACTATGGGTCAGTTCTGACCTGAAGGTACACAGCAACAGCATTGATTGGGATTGGGAGTGGTAAAAGTTAAGTCCTTAGCTGCTAACCAAAAAGTCATTGGTTTGAACTTTCCAGTGGTTCCATAGGCAAAAAGGATGCACTGAACTGCTTCCTCAAAGATTGTTGTTTTTGTTAGGTACCACAGAGTCAAGTACAGTTCTTGACCCTTTGAGCAGCTGGTCTTAGCCCTGTCCTATCTTGTGCCATTCTCATCATCTCTGACATACTTGAACCCATTGCTGCGGTCACTGTGTCCATCCATCTCCTTGGGAGTCTTCCTCTTTTTTGCTGACCCTCCATCTTTCCAAACATGATGACCCTTTCCAAGAAATAGCTGCACCTAGCTACATGTCTGAAGTGTGAGAGACGAAACTTGGCCATCATTGCCTCCAAGGAGCACTCTGGCTGCGCTTTGCCCCTAGACATACATTTTCTGTTTGTTTTTCTGGAAGCTCATGGGATATTCAGTACTCTTCTTAAACACCATTGTTCAAAGGGCATCAGTTCTTCTGTCAGCCTTATTCTTTGACCAGCTGTCAGATAACAAGTAATTGAAAAGGCCTTTGTCTTCAAGCTGACATCACTGGTCTTCAGTATTTTGAAGAGGTCCCTGACAGTGGAGTTGCTTTCACCTCTGGCAATTATTCATCTGCTTTGTTTGTAAAGATTTGCTTTTCCTGGGAATTCTATATTCATAAAAGCAAATAATATGTAGTCTTTTGCGTCTAGTTTCTTTCACTGAATAGTGAAATAGCAAGCATAGTAATGTGTTTGAGGCTGATTCAGTAGCTTGTTCCTCTTTTTGCTGCCTTGGGTAGCATTCCACTGAATGGGATATACTGTATTTTACTTAACCTTTCAACAGCTGGAGGATAATTGGAATGTTTCTGGGGTTTGGCTATTATAAATAATTATGAACATTTGTACACAAGCTTTTGCATGTACATAGTTTTTATTTCTCTAGAAGTGGAATTGTTGAGCATACAATAAATATATGTAAATATATTTTTTATGACGCTGTTAAACTTTGTCAAAACGGTTGTACACTCCTAGAAACAATGTATGGGCATTCTGATTTATTCTGTCATTTTCAACCCTTGGTATTGTCATTCATTTTTTTATTATGGCCACTTTAAAGGATGTGTGGTGGAATTTTATTTTCATTTTAATTTA